TTGCAATGTAATGACGGGAAATGGTCGCTGGATTAAGTAATCAAACGTCTCAATTAGTTGAGCGTTTGTTTTTGTTGAATGTTTCTAGAAAACAAGGCGTAATTCTGATTTTGATATTATTGCAATGCACATAAAGCACATAAAGCATAGTTCTATGCATGTGAGGAATCTACATGCATAGTTCATTTGATAGAGGGAAGGGGTGGCGTAAACAATTTCTGACTGCCAAGTACCCCTCTAGAAGCCCATTATACCAAACCCTCCACTCACGCACACACGCAGTCCATGTTGGGTATGAAAATAGAAACGGATCAGGCCCAAGGGGGGGGGGGTAAAACCACACACCCTTGAAGAAAAGTTTCTGACGGGGCTGAGCCCCCCCCCCCCCTCGGCAAAAGCAGATTATGAATAATGTAGCCAGTCCATGATAGTTTCTCGGAGATATCTTTGAAGAATTACCAACTTATCAAGACAGATAACAATATTAAATGTAGATGGCAAAATAAACGCGTAAAATAAACCCATCATGCATGTGACTTGTCAAATAAGAAATAAAAACAAAGAAACAAACATAAAAACCTATGCTCATTAATTAAGGGGAAAATCAGATTTAGCAAGCAAACTCCGAGACTTAACAAGAATTTTTGAATATTTTTTGCTTATATCATTCCGATCCTTGTCATAGTTGTCAAATAAAAAATCCCCTTGGCAAGAAGGCCGCAGCTTATACTTTAAAGAAAGTAGTCGGTCCATGATAGTGTCTGGGAGTTGTCTCTGAAGAATTCTCAACATATCAAGATACGGCTGATAATATAAAATGTAGATGGCAAAATAAAACGGCATGCCCCTCTAAACATATGCTCATTAATTAATATGGTTACAAGCAAAAAAGGATATAAAAAGGATATATAAAATGATTTAAATGGTTGCAACGCATTATCTATTTTAACAGAAATCAAGATAGTAACTCATGCAACAAAACGGAAAATGGTTTAGAAAATAAATCAATGAGATCAACGTTATACAATGATGGAAACAAATCAGATAGTAAAAAATCGTATTCTAATTTAATTCCTAAATCAAGTCTCAACCCTCCAGACACTGGTGACATTTGAACGCATTTTATCTAATTTAAATTAGAACTTAAATTAGATTTTATGTAATTTAAACAATCAAATCAAATCAAAAGTAAAACATGCAAACAGGTATAACTGCTTATTTGATCTAATATCCGAGGAAATGTGCGTCCGGGGTGTGTGACGCTTATTTACAGTCCTACATCGCCGCTGAACACCCTGAAAAGAAATCTGCTTATGATAAGTTATTCTTTTTATACCATGGTCAGAGCAATATCTCAGTATTCAATAGCAAGTGATAAATCATATATTTAGGATATGGATGATATTGGGATTAGAGGGATGATATGGCTATCAACCCGGGTATTATTAAAAAATTTCATTTTTCAAAAACAAAAATTTTAATTTTTTCAAACATTTTCTCTCATTCAAAAGAGGATTTTAGATATATTTTGCTCTTGATCATGGTATAAGGTCGTTATTCACCTGTCGGGATGATATTGAGAATATCCCTCGGATGATATCAATATTTCCCTCTGTCACTGCGTTCCCTCGGGATATATTCATATCATGTGATATTCCCCATATGAAATCCCTCCTGGTGATTAACTTCTTTGTATATACTTTCAACTAATTTAACAATGAAACAGAAACACAATGCATGCCAAACATTATCTATTGTTATATTATGGCCCGGGGGGTTCACTATATATAAACCTTGACGGGGATCCTCGGCGCATGTGGGGTACCTTTTTCAACATTTGGTATGGCAATGGACCCATATTTTAGGATTTGGTATGGGAATGCCCGGAAATTTCTGACTTCTGAGGTATGGCAATGGTCGGACTTTTGCTCTTCTGGTATGAGAATGGTAGATACGTTACCTAACATTCGTGGTATGGCATTGGTCCAGTAGTTGCAAATTTGTATGACATTGATCCTATATTTCATTTACTTTGAATTAAGGTATGGCATTGGTCCAATATTTGGACATTTGGTATGGCATTCGTCCTACATTTTGACATTTGGTATGGCATTGGTCTCATAATTGGGCATTTGGTATGGCATTGGTCCTATATTTGGACATTTGGTATGGCATTGGTCCTATATTTGGACATTTGGTATGGCCTTTGGGCGTTATTTTGGTTGGTATGGGAACATATTGAAATTTGACAGATTGGTATGGGAACATATTGATATTTGAGGCTTCAGCCTAGGACCCCCGTCGAGTTTTATATTCAGTGAACCCCCCATGGTTATTTCATAGTTTGCACTTGTATTCAGCAACTGTGTTTCTCAAACCAAATATGGGATAAACCTTTTTAGGGTTATCACGTCAGACTTAAAACGTCGCTTGAGGCAAGATGCATAAACTATATAATTCCACGGCTATAACTTGAAGAACGCCATTGTTGTGTCTGTACCCCTTTAGGATGGGCCGTATATTGTTCTTGTGTGTATCCTACCCACGGGAACCTACAAAACAGAAAAATATATAATAACATTATCAAAAGGGGAAGTCCCGTCTATATAAATCCCTAGATTGAAGTCGTTGAAACATTCCCATATTTGCAACAAAAGAATGATAAACCAAAGTCAGTTAGTAGTAGTTGTACCATATGCATGAATTGTAGCTTTTGGGAAAGATGATAAAACGCAAAATATAATTCAAATGCTTGGTGAAGTCAGGCATTCATGATCTAACAAGAAATTTAGGGAAGGCGTTGATTATAATTAAACGTAAAAGCAAAAGTTGACCATTGCATCTCGGTGGTTATCATGGCAAATGAATGTTCATTCGAAGACTTCATTTTGCAAATTTGACCCAAAATCACACGAAAAATGGTCAGAATTATGAAAAACTGCATGATTTTGAAAGAGTTTTTGGCCAGGGGGGGGGGTTGCCTAAAATAAGTGAAACTTTGAGAACCCACGGGAGTACATGTAATTACTCACTGTAGAAGTTAAATGCACGCGAGGAAATGCTTGTTTTATTTGTGATACTCCCTAGATTTGCTTGTTGTGAATCAATAGAGTAAGAACGATACGTTTTGGATGTAAATAATATTAAAAGTTATTGAATGATTTGAAGTGCAATACAGGATATATTCTGCTCGAGAAATTGCGTATTGGAACGAGACGAAGTCGAGTGCCAATACAGAATATCGAGACAGAATATCATAATGTAGTTATTAAATTCACACGTTTGGTGTATTTGCTATTGCCGAAATTATGTACTGTTGTACATAATTACATAAATACATAATGTACGTAATTGTGTCTGTTGCAATTTCACAATTTCAAGCTGTAATCGGCCCTTGTGCCCGGGAGTAGAAATAAACTATATCTATGACAACATATGTCATGTCACTAAATTTAAACCCCTTATTTATGGAAAATACTTGACATTGTTCTTACTATGGATATATAGGATTTAATTCGAATTTGAAATCCGGAATTTTTAGTACTTTAAAAAGATGTATTAAATATGGATATTCTTTGTACAGTTTGTGCATTTACAGGATGTTGTGTACGTAGAAACAGAGAGGCTAGCTACATGTACACGTATTTTAGAGAACTTGTACGTGAACATATAATAAATATGAACCCCTGGGTTTCCTGTCCCTCCCTCAATTTATTTTTTTTACCATCGGGAAGCTATCGTTCCGAGCTAAACCATGGTGTTATTTATTAAGAATTCCGACGACAAATTGCAGAATTATAGACCGATTAATGCAGTTTCTCAAATGGCTTGTTTAGAGCCAGAAAAGTGTATTCAGACTGTAACATGGTTGCTATATTGCTCTGGGTTTCGTCAGAGCCGACCGGCCGTGTATGATGTAGTATTGAAGGCCGGAGTGCAACTAGAGCACGTCCCCCCAAAAAGGTTAATTCATCAAAACTACTCCGGGACTGTACACACGCGCACGAAACTACTGTAAGAAGAATAGGCGTAACATTCCTGTCGACTTATTAATAAACGTAATTTAAAAAAAAATTAAATCACCGAAAAGCGTATACAACTGCTTCAAATGTTTGTACATGTGTGCCACTGGACCAATGTGAAATGGAATGATCCGTAATCACTTTAATTGTATTCTTTTTCAAAACAGATTAGACGAATCAAATATTCATTGAAACTGAGAAAAACGCAACACTAAAATCTTGTCTGAAATTTGAGTTAATATAGTCTCTACTACATATTATGTAAATGAAAAATAATGTAGGTTTAGTTTAATTAATATGCGTATACAATCGTTGAGCGAAGGCAACACTGGCGTTAAGCTATGTAAGCACGAACGGTTCGCGGGTTAAGTCCTGTCGCAAAGCAAGGTAAACGCGAGGTAGTCACACACGCGAAGCGACCGCGCCGCTCAAGTAAAACAAGGGTATCGCACTCGCACGGCAAAGGAGTGTACGGCGGACGGCAAAGTGACACTTTCGTTAATAGATGGACTGTATACATGTAGTCCCACAGAACAAAACCCCAAAAATGGGGTTATATACAGTGTATATATATATATGACCTCTATACAGGGTGTCCCGAAAGTATGGGCCCCCCCCCTAGACAAACATATACTAGTGTTGTCATAGTATGTGTCATATATCATTTTAAAGCTTATCCAAAGTAACATTGATTCGCCAAGAATGATGGTTCAACTCTCAAATGTGAAAAAATTACAGTCATTTCAAAATTTAGTGTTTGGTCAAAATTGGGTTCAATTTTACACCATATCGCTAGTTAATGTGTCCTCCCGGGCCATCTTAACAGCATCAATTCTTTTTGGGTCAGATGGATATTGAGTTGAAAAAAGAGAACGGTGAGGGTAGATACTCCATGGAAACTCTTCTAAAAGTTCCTTAACAGGTTTTAAGAGGATTATAAAATTCTTCATTTAATTATTAATATATTCATTATTATAGTGGGGTGGAGAAAAATATGATGAGGTTGACCATACTGCTGTGATATGCCATGCATTGGATGGCATTGAGTGCCATGGCAACAGAACATTCCTCAAAGATGGCTTCCCATGTATAAGGTAATATACTTCATTTTGTCAAAAAATAACCTTTTTATCACTAAGTATAAAATAAAAGAGCTTATATTGTGGTAGGGATTGATACTAGGTTCATACCCAAAGGTCTGAGCTCTTCCTAGATCTGATATCCAACAGTAGCATTTTAACATGACATATTATCTTTATTTAATACTTAATCCCAGGGTGGGAGTGTCAAATTTTGGTCAATCACTGGAGCATGATATTTAACCAAGAAACCAAGGAATTCTTTTTTAAAACCTGTTTAATCTCAAGCAAAATAAATTGTACTTTTATATTGTGATCTGTATTTCAGATATAATGGACATTACTTTGTGACAACTCTGATCTACTCAGTACTGTTGGGGTTCCTTGGGGTGGATCGCTACTGTTTGGGACATACAGGTTAGTGATTGGAGAATTACATATACAAAAACAAATACTAACTCAGAGATCAGAATCCATGATCCTTTCAGCATTGAAACATGTTGGCTCTGCACCCACTTGAGATTTTTGAAATAGATTTGCATATTTGTATGTTCAGACTAATTTTGGTCAGAATTTTGAAAATTTGGCAATCACTCAAGGAAAAATCATGGAGTGAAAACAAAGATTGGATTAGCATATCTAAGAACTAGCATATCTAAACATTAGTAAACGCTCCCGGGTAAACGCTATGTTAACAAAGAGAATGATCCCTAGGATTTTTGAAATTGAGGTACAACACCCTACTCTAATATGCTCATTCTGTGTTTTTGTCTCTGAAATTGTATAAAGAAAAGTTCCCTTGCTCAGAATCTAAAAATAACACTAAAAAGGTATTTGGTTAAAGGTTGTAGGATTTTGCACAAAAATTTAGTATCAACATCTTCATATTTATACCATGGTCAGAGCAATATCATGTATAATATAAAAGCAAGTGATAAATCACATATTTGGGACAGGGACGATATCAGGAATGATATCGGGTTGAGAGGGATGATATCAAGAATGATATTGATATCATCCCGGTTAAATTCAAAAATTTTACATTGCTTCAAAAAACTTTTTTTTTCAATTTCCCCAAATTTTTCATTTTTTCAAAAATTTTCATTTTTCCCAAAATTTTCATTTTTTTCAAATTTTTGGGTTCAAAGATGATTTTCATTTTTCAAATTTTTTAAGTATTACGTTTTTCTTTTTCCATAATTCTCAATGCACATTAGGGCCAAACATTTTTTTCTGTTATTCATCAGAGGACTATAGGTAGACATTGCTCTTTACCAAGGTATAAGGTCATTATTCACCTGTTGGGATGATATGAGCAATATCCCTCGGATGATATCAATATTTCCCTCAGTCACTGAGTTCCCTCGGGAAATATTGATATGATCATCAAATGGTGAATAATTTCTCAATCCTGGTTTAGGATGTCTGTAACCTGTGTAATACTTTTCATTATTTCAGGGACCGCTGTCGGGAAGATGTTAACCCTTGGTGGCGTGGGAATCTGGTGGATTGTTGATGTTATATTACTTGTAACTGGAGGGTTAAGACCTGCTGATGATAGTAACTGGGTTCCATATTATTGAGGATTTACCATAAGAGTTGTTGCGATAATTGGACACTTCAGTTCATTGCCACATGTCTGAAATAAACAACAATCTACTCTGATTTACCTCTCAGAAGACTGGACTCAGAAAACAGTGCTGGACTGAACATGAATGAGCTGAGTCGAGCTCCCAGTTCTTGATGTTCAAAAAGGAATATAAAATGACATTCTTTTATGTCAACTAAACTATAACATTGATACAGAAAACCAATGCAATTTTTAAAATTTTTATTTGCATTATAATATCAGTGTTTGCCGATCACACATCACAATATCGGTTCAATCATTTTGCATTGATAACTGTGATAAATCATGACAATAGGTTAACCTACACTACAGGAATTCATACTCAGCTTGAATACAACACAAAATGATTCCAAGCTCTCTGAAGTTTGAAAAATGAAAATACTCGGTTGTTAATCCATAGATAATTCTTGAAAATGAGACATATTTTTGGGATTATATGGTCTTATTGTCAATAAAACGTTTTAAAGTGTATTGATGTTTTTTGGATGCAAAACATAATCGAAATGCATGAAAAAACTCCCCTGATTCATTCGACAAACAACTCCCCCCTCCATTATGATTATTATGTATAGTCACCAAAGCCATGAATTAAAGTCCAATTGAGGCTAGGGTTATGAAATTAAATGTTTAGTAAATCCTCTCACATCTATTTCAAACTACATAATATAAAATAAGATTGATGTTTTCATTGAAAATAAGAGATGATTCGTGTTTTATTTGTTTTGATAGAAATATGTAATTCATCATGCAATTCTTGATTCCCTATGTAAAAGGTCTAATAAGTGTATATATTGTGTATACATGTATATTACATGTACTGTATTATAGTTATTGTGTACATAATGTAAAATCTCCAAATCATGGAATAAAATGAAAAAAATTAACCATTCTAATATATTTTTATCATTCATTCATAATTGGTGAATCTACAGTTGCATAATATTCAATAAGTGTCATGGAAGCATCTCAAGGCTATGGGAATTGAAAATACACTTTCATATCTATCTACTGTACATGTTTTACCATCAGGGAAACCTATTAGAAATACATGGGTCATACATTTAATATGTTAAATCAATTCATTGTCATATATACAATGTTCTAAATCATTTCTTAGGCCATTATAGTGAAATATTGGACCGGAGGGGTTTTACACACTTAGGCAAATTTTGCACTTTCATTTACAAAATGATTACACATGTAGTGTAATCATAATGTAACACATCAACAAATTATGTTACTCATCAAGTTCGACTTGTTGTATCATCCCATCGATGTGTAGATTCAATGCAATCAAGCAATTTGTAAACTATGCAAATAGGATGATTTGCATATTGATTATGACGTCATAACTGTTTGTTCTTGCATATTTTATCTTAATCATGATGTATTAATCTGTGAAATTATTGTCTTTAGAATAGTAATGCTTTTGATTAGATTAATTATTTTAGTTGAGTTTTTGAGAGTTTATAATGGAGAGCTATGATGTAAAGTAACCGTGTATTGAGAACTAACACGACAGTTACAGTATCTTACATTTCCAGTCTGCCAGTTACCTTCTCTTAAGTGGTGGAAGATATCGTTGAACTGTGGCGCCCACGCATATGAACAAATTATCATATTCCATAGTTCCAATGTCATATAAGTCTGATTTGGTTCAAATATCAAAGCGTTCAAACTATAAAGTAGTTTAAAAACTAAAAATATCGAAATTGACCATTCCCATCTGCCATCTTTGATGGGAAGGTGACGGCCGTTACCTTCACTTGATACTGATCAGTGAAATTGAAGCATTGGGATGGTATTGAGACCAATAAGGAAGAATTATAATTTCTTTGGAAGATATTGCATAATATATTAATTTATCCATGCAATGAGAATAGATTTTAGATCGTTTGAAAGAATTTTCACTTTGTGAAATTTGTAATGTCATAAACAATGTCAAACAATTCTTTTATGAACTAGGAAAATTAGAAATGTATGGAATTATATTTGTGCAAATAATAGGTACAGAAATGTGATAGATATAAAGATGTTGGCCAAGAGACCAATTTTTGATTATAACCAGAACAAAACTGGAAACATATTAGCCTATCAAAATGAAAAAGTATGTTTATTGTTGAAATATAATAAAAAAAGATCAGTATAAAAGTGTTGCTTAAAATATTATCCCATATATCTTTATTTAGACCATTAGTGTCTGTAAAGAATCCCAGGCCTGTATAAGCTTTTAGGTAGAGGTTTCAGTGAAAATGATTGGTCCCTTTTAAAAATTGTGCAACAGTGCTTTCCTGTTACTTCAAAAAGAGGCTGGCACATGCAAAAAGTTTTTGAGTAGGCTAATACGTTCGAAAATATTCTCAAATTACTTCATCTTGCTGACTAAACAAAGACAAACAATATGTCTGATACAATATGTGAGATATGCAGTATCAGAGAATCTACAATAGAATGCATAGACTGTGCGAAGGGTGGAGGTAAACAAGAATGTAAGTGAAGCCATCTTAGATCTTCATTTTTTTAAAAGTGAAAATGAAATTGAATTTCAATTTGAAATGAATTTTATGTTCTTTGATTGATATATATTATTATATTGCAACCAATTCATTTTCAAAATCTCAGAGACTTATCGTATATTTCACAGGAACTTGTAGCACTAGACTATGAGATGCTTATCATGTCAGATCTGAGTCAATAAGACTCAGACATAAACATTATCATAGTGCTACAAGTTAGTCCCTGTGGTATTACCCCCATAAATGTGGGGTTATTTTGAGTTTTTTTATATTTAGGACATTTGTTTCTCAAAATAACCCCACAAAGTTTAGGCTTTGATTCTTTGCGGTTTTTTTCACATGATTTGAAGATTCAAGTTCTGACAATATCGGCAGTTTCCTTACCTTTTTTCTTCTCTTCTGTGAAGAGGATTCTTTTTCCAATGTAATGAGCGATCGATCAGTGGAAACAATACTTTATAACTGGAACAATTTGCTGTAATATTTGACTCTCGAAATCTATTCAAATTTTGGCCATTTTCGCGCGTTGCATTCTGGGAGGAATTATGTGGTAGATGGGAAACTTAACAGTGCCAAACGAAATCACCTGTCAAATTAATAACAAAATTATTGCTTATGCCTAAGTTCAGGAAAACAAAGGCCGTAGACGATACAGCAGCCAGACTTGAGGTTGAAAATCCTTTTAATACACCCCGGAAGGTGAAAATCATTTTTCAAAATTTCCCTCCATTTTTACTTTTGGATTTCGTATTTACACGAAGTTTGTCATTTAGATAAAAAATATCGACTGCTCATGAAATTTGAAAAACTTTTTTAGAAATATCTGTTATCCGTATTAAATCTTCATTACAAGAATGAATACAACACTTAGAGGGCTATATTTGGAAGCATGTTGAAGATTAATGTCTTGTCGATACGAAAAACATAAAAAAGTGAGTAAATTCTAATAATATTAGTACAAATTCTATGTGTATGCTATTGTTTAGCAAATCCCCAAAGAATCAAAGTACTAATCGGTGTGGGGTTATTTTGAGAAACAAATGTCCTAAATATCAAAAAACCTCAAAATAACCCCACATCTATGGGGGTATGTGGTATATGTATATTTCACATAGAATAAATAGGTGCCCCTTACCTCCTGCAAAAGATATGTGGATTTTGATATAATAGCTTTCACAGCCCACTTGGACAGCTGAATAATAGTGACCTTTAAATCATGAATAATGAGAACCGCGGGTTACTTTTGGTCTCTAACTGTGGGGTTTGTGTAAAAAACCAGGTAACCTGGTGACTGGTAATTAACGTTCCTAGCAGGGTTAGGAATTTTTTTATTTATAACGTTGGATCTGGACGATACATGTACGTTATTTTCGACGTCACATTTTGAGGTTATTTCACATCGTAAGAACGTTTTGATAACGTTAACTTTTAACTTTACAATAACGTCGGTAATGAACCAATTTAGTGAGAACATATTGACGTTTTTGTAATGACCACATGACAGAATTTTTTGGGGAATATACATATATATTTTTCTTTCAAAGTTTCCTTCCCGGAAGTTGATTTCTGATTGAAATAGTTCAAGGCATGTGATAGGACAAATAGTTATCCAACACTCAATTTCCAAGCAGTAATCAGTACGAGTCCTACAATTGGCCATTGACCTGATTTAAACCATTTTCAATAGGTCAAGTGCGATCACGGGATCATTATATTTAAACATGTGCATGCGCAAGAAACTGAACCAAAAAATGGAACCTCGCTTAGATTGCCCCTAAAGCAAAATATTTCTGAGCCATCAAATTGCTTCGAAATACGTAAAGAAATGTGTGTTTAATCCTTCAATATAATTAATACCATTCAATGACAAACTAGACTCGCTAGAACGTTGATTTATTTATCGCATCCTACGACCCCCACTACGTTTGTGGTCCACAATCTAAAGTGGTCGTAGTATTCAACACTCCCCCCAGTTTAAAATGCCCAAGTTAAAATGCTCAATTCTGCAAGTGAAATTAGTGAATTCTGCAAGAAGAAAGGGCTAATTCTGCAGAAATTCCGTGGATATTCGCGGCATTTTTTTATATAATATAAATAACTGTTATTAATTTATGTCTTTGTTTAACTTTCTGACGAGAACCGAAAGAAAAACTAATGGTTTTCGAACCAGTAAACGGGAAAATATCGTGATAGTCAGGTAGTCAGTCACTACATACATGCTGCCATCTAACGGCAGAAATCAAACGATGGCGTTTAGAATTTTCACTTCGCATAATTTGGGTTATTTCTGCAAGGGATTTGACTGAAAACGTGTCAAATTGTTACAGGTAAGACTGACTTTTTAAACTTTTGGAAAATATATGGATTCTGCGGAAAATTCCGCGGAAATTGACCAAAATAGTTGATTCTGCAATTCCGCGGGCAGAGGCAAATTCCGTCCGCGCTCTGCAAACACGGAATCCTGGGGGCAGTGATTCAATAATGATTCAGACAGATACATAACAAAAGCGATACAACATTTCATCAATTTATTCCGTCCAGTGTAAAAACGTGACTTTGAATTCCTTGAATATTTTTCAAGGGACGCAGTTTTTTGAAAGAGGATGCATTTTTTGAAAATCAGTACGTCCCAGGGACACAAACCTACTGAAATCACTGATCATTGAGCACTATTGTACTGATGTACTGTGAGTTTACAATATACATTTGTACAAATTGTTGTATAACGATGATAACTGCTCATTGTGGACCCATCTGTACAGTACATGTATTTATATTATATAGACATCATATTTCTCTTGCAGCATCAGCTGGCGCCATAGGTAAAACTTTCTAAAATTTCCACTAGATATTACAAAATATTATTACCATTGCTTATTTCGTGTGTGCTGTTGCTATGGTGATGGTATCTTTTCCTGCTGCACTTGTTACTTCCAATTGTTTAGAATGTGCACCCTCTCATCACTTGTTTGCAGTCAATATGCTTCCAGGTTGGATTATATTTACTCAATTACTGAGTATGAGCAAGAGTATTCCTTTATTATGCTTTAGTATTTTAATGTTCTGTAAATACATTATTTCCTCTTTCTGATTTATGCCTCAGAAAATTTTCACAAATAGCTCCCTAAATGCGGGAATTCACATTTTTAAGTTATTTAAAGAACATATTTTGTGTGTGCATTTAAATAAAAGGCAATAAGGCATTGAATGATCGCAAATTAATTGTTTTAATTTTTTTGCTTTGGAAGGTCCAATGTTATTACAGATATGACATTTTTAGACTCATGATAGCCTTGCCCAAGTCGGTATTTTTTTACTTATCTGATCTTGAATTATTACTGCCTTGTACAATCCAATACACCTGCGCTGATATTATGCAGAGTTATTCAACGGTTTCGAGATTTCCATAATACCTACGCTATCGGGGGTATCGCGAAACCTTATTGATTAACAGATATAGGCGTGGACAGTCTGGACACGACGTGTGACTTCAGGCTGATTGACCAAGCAAAAAAGTTATCAGGTTGACCTGCATAAGCAAAGCAATCTTCCCGATTTGAAATTCAATGCCGATGATCTGATCGATCGTTTCTTTAGAGTTACAATATATTATGTAATTAAATGTACATAGGGAATGTAAGAGTCATTAATATAAATTGAATCATGCAATAGATTTAAAACTGATTTCGCGATGAAAATGCAAGACTGAGTCCAATGTAGCGGGTCATGTAGTCGATCAGTGATTGAATCTCAGCCTAATGTTCATTTGAATTCAGCGATCGTTTCAACGTTTATTGTTGAAATCTTCTCACCTCCGGTTACCGATCGATGCTCCGGCATCCACTAAACTCTGATTGATATTTATCTGATAAAATGTTTGTATTTTCATGATGAATTCATGCAAGTTTGTTCGTGAAAAGTCCCGGCGAAAAGTAAAAAGTGTACTTGTTTTTGACCGTGCATAATAATGAGCTAACGCTGCAGGGCCGTCGTTGATTGGTCAAATTTTACCGACATAAACATTGAGTCGGTAAAGCACGTGGCTTTCTCTTTGGTACAAGGCGGTCATAATAGAAATCAAGATAGTAAAAGAGACCGACTTGGGCAAGGCTAGACTCATGAGAACTTGATTTATAGGGAATAGTATTATTTGCTGGGAGTGGGATGCCATACTGTGTAGCTCAGGTTTTCTAGTTTGGGTTTGAAAATGCATGTACAGTATTCATTTTAAGAGGGCTCCAATTTGATATTATCCTGCTTTAAAGACAACATTAAGACCTTAGATGCTTTGAAACCATTGTTTAGGCAGTTTGACAGATCCTTGGAAAATTGACTTCTATAGCATGTTTTAATTCCTAAGATATGTTATATGTTAATTGCTCTTCAGATTGATAATTCAGATTGCAAATTATCTGTATCAGGATCACATTTACTGCTTTTGACTGCTTAATTTCCCTTGCAAGTATGGATGGTATTTTGGTATACATGTACTTACAGGTTAGTTCCGTATGTTCAGAATTTTAATGGCTTCCTAATTGGAGTCCTTTGTTACTTTTATACATGGTTTACAGTTTTCAGTTTTGCACAGAGAACAGATAACATGGGCGTAGCCAGGGGGGGTGCGATGGGTGCGATCGCACCCCCCCCCCATAACCTTTGAAAATATGAAAAAAGAGCTTTAATGAGAAAAGAGCTTTAAAATGCTTTTTATTTGAAGCTTCTAGCTCAATTTTGAAGGAAGTTGCATCAATTTTTGTAAAATTCAAAAGAAATCTTAATTTTTTGTGTTGCTTATGGCAAAATCGCACCCCCCCCCTGACCGAAAACTGAAAAATTTTCGGCGATCGCACCCCCCCTGACTGAAAGCTGGCTACGCCCCTGGATAAAGTAGGTCACTGAATTTTTGAATTTCATACATAGTAAAAAATTATTTATCCTCAACCCTGAAGTCATATGTCATTTTCAGGAACATATCACTAACTCCATATGTACATGGTCTACCTCTTCCAGTTTTGCACAAAGCGTATAAAAATGCACCTAATGGTGCACACCTAATCATTAGGTGCATTTGTATACGCTTTGTGCAAAACTGGAAGAGGTAGACCATGTACATATGGAGTTAGTGATATTTTCCTGAAAATGACATATGACTTCATAAGAAAGCTATTAAAGTTTCTGAATATACAGAATTACCCCAAACAGTGTTGGAAATAGGGATTTTAGTGCCTGGTATATTTATCCATATACTTTGGAGCAGTAGATAAATTCATTTCATATTGGTTCAAAAATATATTGTATTTATTTCCAATTGACAATTCATCCACACATTCTGAAATATCATTGACCATTTTTTATATAGACCAGTCATTTGGTTTGTGTCAGTGCCTTATTTCCTACACTGTACTTATTGTGATATTTGTGTGCTGTCTTAGCTATGCAGTAACAACTGCCCTCTCCCATTTATTCTTTCTCTTACAGCTGTTGATGTAGAATTTGGGTGAATGGTAATAGGCTTGATACAAGACTAATTAAAAGTAGCTAGAGCTTTTTCAAAATGAATATCTTATCCTCTACAGGTTTTTATCTCACACTTTCCATTCTGGCTTTTGTTCTATTTTTGCTTTCAGGAAGACACATGATCAGCAAACCTAAAGTTTGAACATTCATAACAACCATTCTGTTATTATAAAAAAATAATCATTGTATGTAGTCATTAAAAGGAAAAGTACCAATTTTTATGTATAATGCCAGCAATCAAACTAACTATTATGGTCAAGATTCAATTCAATTCAATTTATTAAATTAAAAATCAATCATATGTTTTATACTATACATGAAAAAGACACCCCACGGGGCGTATACATTTCATGACTCATTAGATTTTCAACAATCATGTTTTATTTATAAACCAGTATCACCCTATGCAGACAGAGCCTGTGGGAAATATTGGGTGCGGCGGAGGGTGCGGAGCTAACGGTCATTTTTGAATTTAAAATTGGGATATTTCTGAAACTAAGCCGTTTTGGGACTTCAAATATACCAAGATATGTATATTTGACACCAAATATCAATAAAATTGTGAAAATAGTAGTGCAATTCATTTTATAGCGACGCAGTATGCCTTAAACATTTCCCAGACCTATATATTTTGAGACTATCCTTTTAATACTGCGTCCCCAGCATTCATAAAAATGGTGTTCAAGATACACTACCCATGCAAATTATTTTTGCATCTTGGAAGCCAGGCAGTATCTGTGTGATTTTATAAAAATTCGGAAATGTTCTTCAGATATGAGCCCCTCTAAATATTGGGTGCGGAGCTACATTTATGGAGCTGCTCCGCACCCAATATTTAGAGGGGCTCATATCTGAAGAACATTTCCGAATTTTTATAAAATCACACAGATACTGCCTGGCTTCCAAGATGCAAAAATAATTTGTATAGATAGTGCACCTTGAACACCATTTTTTATGAATGCTGGGGACTCAGTATTAAAAGGATAATTTCAAAATATATAGGTCTGGGAAAGGTTTAAGGCACACTGCGTCGCTATAGAATGAATTGCGCTACTATTTTCACAATTGTATTGATATTTGGTGTCAAATACACATATCTTGGTATATTTGAAGTCCCAAAACGGCTTAGTTTCAGAAATATCCCAAATTTAAATTCAAAAATAACCGTTAGCTCCGCACCCTCCGCTCATTTGCTCCGCACCCAATATTTCCCACAGGCTCTGTCTGCATAGGGTGAGTATATAAACCAGATATAAATGCAAGATTACTGTATGATTACAGCATGATAATTATGTTCATCCGAATATTTCAATGTATTTTTACTTTGACTCATTTATATAATTTGAAAAAATGGAATATTACCGAGCAACCCCACTGTGAAATATGTTAATCTGGTATGTAATATGTAATGAGACATCCTTTCATGTTTCAGCTCCAGTGTTGCTGTGCCAGACTTGTGGTGACTCATGGCATCAAGGACGTATGTCCTCTCACAAATATGTCCTACTGACCTCTAAGGTAATTAAATCAAAGGGGGAACTTTGGCTTAATAACGCAGATGCGAGTAGGTAGTTACCAGTTTCACCACCAGGTGGCTCGTTCCGGTCAGATAGCATGGCGGGTATAGAAGAAAGTTCCCTTTAACTTAAATTACATCTGTTTTAGTGGTTCAATTTTCATATATCCCTTATATATATAATATTTATGCAAATTAAAATATGTCCAGTAAAAGAAAATGTTATCTGTCCAATACAAGAAAAGATATTTCACTTTTTGTGATTTTGTAACACAGGGTCTATTGGGAATCAACCCGAACAAGAAGTCACATTTTCAAAAAAATTGAATTTTCAAAGTTGATAAACAACTTTTGAAACCAAATTCTTTGATGTACTTTTACATGAAGATTTCAAATATGACATCACTTTGACTTAATTTTGAATATTTAATAACGTAAATCAAGATTATTTCTACTCGCATCTAGTCTATTCAGATAGTTGATTATCTCTCTCAATGTTAAGACTGATTTGATAAATTTATCATATGAACATATATATTAGCATACAGGTAATGCTAACTATTGTTTTCAGCAACACAAGACAGAAGTCCGCAGTAAGCTTGACAAATATTTGAGGTACTTTGTAATCTCTTTTCCATTTTACTAATTTTTTAAAACATTATTACTGTATGATCATCCCAAATTACAATTTCGAACAAAATGTAATATCAATTAAGTACATACATTTTTGAGCAAAGATTTTTTTTTTTTTTTTCTTAATTGTAGTGTTTCATTTCAGCCAAACCAAATCTATAGACAACAAGATCTCAGAGTTAGGTCGAGTTAAAACAGACCTTCTTGCCAGGTAATATTATCAATCAATATATACTAATATATATAATGTCAACTTGAGTTGTCTCATTCAAGGTGGTCTACAAAATTTGTTCCATTGCGATTAACCATTGAATTCCACCTAACCAAGTAAAATATGAATGCCAGATATTGCAATAATTGCACCATACAAACTAACAATATTTTATTTTAATATGGTCAAACATTATCTGAAATCTAAGAATTTAAAGAAAACGGTTTTACTTAGATTGAAGTTGGCTCATCCAGTGAACTGCTATGAAACAATATTTGTGATGATTAGTAGTCATTGTTTGTGATGATGAGTCACTCTGAAAAAATTGCCTTAACAAAGTCTTTTGGAAAGTATTAATGCAGACTTAACAACTCTCAGAATGTGCAAAGATTAGACGTGTCTTTAGCATTTTGTTGCATTTCCAGACAGCAAATTTTTGTGCGAAACATCCAAGAAACAGTTACCTCTGTACAATCAAGACTCAAGGACAAAGGAATGGAGATGGTGAAAAAGCTCAAAGAACATGATCAAGCCAAATTTGAAGGTCTCCAAAAGAGTGAATTGGCTCTAAAAGAAACATTAGATGAAATAAAGAAGGTAAGCCATGAACACGGTGAGCAAACAGTCTGGGGTCAATGGAGAACACTGGGGTCATTCCCGGTGCGGTATGGTTGCTCACTGTGATGAAAGTGCTCAATTCTAAAACTACTTTCACAGTTAAGTTGTTTTCCAGGATTTTTTCTTATAGTCTTGAGTGCATGGGCAGAATATTTATTCACAGATACCAGAATTATGTATCTATGCACATATTAATTTTGCATAAATTTGAACTTCCAGAAATGCTGCATTATTAATTCATCAGGGCATATTTTTACGTAATTAACACTTTTCTCAAAGAAAATTTCACCTGATATTGATATAAATGTAAGTTTTCGTTGAGAAAAAAATAAATTTCCTCATGGTTGAATAATATAAAATAGATAGATGTAAGCTATTCTGGTGATGAAAGTATTCCTTTCTAAATGTTACGCAATATGTCTTTGTAGATTGGCCAACAAGTAGGGGTGACTCTTAAATTAGAGCATAGTATGGAAGTATTCCTTTCTAAATGTTATGCAATATGTCTTTGTAGATTGGCCGACAAGTAGAAGTGACTCTTAGATTAGAGCACAGTATGGAAGTATTCCTTTCTAAATGTTATGCAATATGTCTTTGTAGATTGGCCGACAAGTAGAAGTGACTCTTAGATTAGAGCATAGTATGGAAGTATTCCTTTCTAAATGTTATGCAATATGTCTTTGTAGATTGGCCGACAAGTAGAGGTGACTCTTAGATTAGAGCACAGTATGGAAGTATTCCTTTCTAAATGTTATGCAATATGTCTTTGTAGATTGGCCGACAAGTAGAGGTGACTCTTAGATTAGAGCACAGTATGGAAGTATTCCTTTCTAAATGTTATGCAATATGTCTTTGTAGATTGGCCGACAAGTAGAAGTGACTCTTAGATTAGAGCATAGTATGGAAGTATTCCTTTCTAAATGTTATGCAATATGTCTTTGTAGATTGGCCGACAAGTAGAAGTGACTCTTAGATTAGAGCACAGTATGGAAGTATTCCTTTCTAAATGTTATGCAATATGTCTTTGTAGATTGGCCGACAAGTAGAAGTGACTCTTAGATTAGAGCACAGTATGGAAGTATTCCTTTCTAAATGTTATGCAATATGTCTTTGTAGATTGGCCGACAAGTAGAAGTGACTCTTAGATTAGAGCACAGTATGGAAGTATTCCTTTCTAAATGTTATGCAATATGTCTTTGTAGATTGGCCGACAAGTAGAAGTGACTCTTAGATTAGAGCATAGTATGGAAGTATTCCTTTCTAAATGTTATGCAATATGTCTTTGTAGATTGGCCGACAAGTAGAAGTGACTCTTAGATTAGAGCACAGTATGGAAGTATTCCTTTCTAAATGTTATGCAATATGTCTTTGTAGATTGGCCGACAAGTAGAAGTGACTCTTAGATTAGAGCACAGTATGGAAGTATTCCTTTCTAAATGTTATGCAATATGTCTTTGTAGATTGGCCGACAAGTAGAAGTGACTCTTAGATTAGAGCACAGTATGGAAGTATTCCTTTCTAAATGTTATGCAATATGTCTTTGTAGATTGGCCGACAAGTAGAGGTGACTCTTAGATTAGAGTACAGTATGGAAGTATTCCTTTCTAAATGTTATGCAATATGTCTTTGTAGATTGGCCGACAAGTAGAAGTGACTCTTAGATTAGAGCACAGTATGGAAGTATTCCTTTCTAAATGTTATGCAATATGTCTTTGTAGATTGGCCGACAAGTAGAGGTGACTCTTAGATTAGAGTACAGTATGGAAGTATTCCTTTCTAAATGTTATGCAATATGTCTTTGTAGATTGGCCGACAAGTAGGGGTGACTCTTAAATTAGAGCATAGTATGGAAGTATTCCTTTCTAAATGTTATGCAATATGTCTTTGTAGATTGGCTGACAAGTAGAAGTGACTCTTAGATTAGAGCACAGTATGGAAGTATTCCTTTCTAAATGTTATGCAATATGTCTTTGTAGATTGGCCGACAAGTAGAGGTGACTCTTAGATTAGAGTACAGTATGGAAGTATTCCTTTCTAAATGTTATGCAATATGTCTTTGTAGATTGGCCGACAAGTAGAGGTGACTCTTAGATTAGAGGACAGTATTGAAGTATTCCTTTCTAAATGTTATGCAATATGTCTTTGTAGATTGGCCGACAAGTAGAGGTGACTCTTAGATTAGAGCACAGTATGGAAGTATTCCTTTCTAAATGTTATGCAATATGTCTTTGTAGATTGGCCGACAAGTAGAAGTGACTCTTAGATTAGAGCATAGTATGTTTGAACAGGAAATAGAGCCATGGGAAGCTAAGGTAATGACAGTTTTACAACAGTTCATTCACATCACCTCCATAATGTGCTTTCTTATTGTATAGCTTCATCTCTCTTCAAGAACAAATAACACAAACATGTACATTGTTTATGCTTTCTATTTACTCTAGCTCTAGTTTCCAATATTTTGGTTATTGTTTCCCTTTTTATATCCCCTCCAAGAAGTATTGCAATAATTTATGAGGTGACATTTTGCTATGTTGATATCTTGTATTGAAATATTCATTTCTTGTGTTCCAGCTCACAGATGTTGACACAAGTGGGCTTATAGATCCTCTCCCTTCCTTTGATACTCAGTTCACTGTTGACTATAGACCAATTAATAATGCTGTGGAGGAACTTACAATTAAGATTGCCACAGAAGGTGAGAATGTCCATATTTTCCTATGAAGTTCAAATGTTATGCACCATATTTTAAGATTCATAAGATGACAGACCACCAACCCACTTTGTTAGGAAACATGCTGCAATTGAATCCTTACATTTCTATTGACAGTCTTTTATCACCCATCTACCAAACAAAATGGATTATGTTTTGTTATTGGTATCATGTTTCCAGAGTGAAATGAAACATCTTTCCAAACCTCATTGGAACAAATGACATAAACACAACATGTTTAGGTCTCTCAATATTGTAATTGTAAAAAGGAAATTTTGGTTGATTTTAAAAAAGTATCTTGTTAATGAAATAAAATGTTTATCTTGAGTTTTATCTATTTTGGGTGATTTTGTTTTAATTTTTTGAATACTTTTTTAAAATCAACCAAAAATTCCTTTGTATAACTATAATATTGAGAGGTCTAAAAACATGTTGTATATGCTATTTTGTTCCAACAAGGTTCGGAAAGACATTTTATTTCATTCTCAAGAATTGGTAGAAAGAGCAAAAACAGTTGCACTAAAAAAACAAAAAAATGTTAACAAAAACAGTCATATAAAATACTTCTAAATAAATAATTTTCACATTAAATTGTTGTCAATCAGTCAACATTACATAAATACCGTGTTTTTTACAGAATGTTTTCAATAATTGGTTTAAGAGAAAAACATTGTTGAATTCAGTTCTCCATATCGATACCAATCCTTTGAACTTTTAGTGATATAAACATTTAGTTGCATGTTGCATGTAATTGTATAATTAATCAACAAATCATTTCGAGCATTTTACCAGTCTAAATAAGAAAAATCCAAAACATGTAAAAATGCACCAATTTCCCATAATTTTTCAATTCTTAAGCTGCTTTCTTCTATTGAAAGAGATGCTGCTGTATTTAACTAAGTCATGTATTTTTAAAAATCCCAGTTTATTGGTGAGACATCTCACAGATATAAGGCATCTTCTTTTTACAGTCCTTGTTATACCACTGGCCAAAATGTTCTGTAGCTTCTTTGAATGCAATCATAGTTACGCATTGGAAGAATGGAACAGGTTGTCCTTTTCCCCAGTTAGTGAACTTCTGAAAACAATTGAATCTTTTTATCTAGCAGGCTCATATTTCAATCATTCAAAGTTCATGGTTTAAAATTTCATCAAAATTTACTGTTCGAGTATACAAAAATATTAATAAATCAGGATTAAATTGAATTATTCAGTTCAGGGTGTTTAAATTCAAGTAAAATATAATATAAAATGCATGAAATCACTATATTACCTGATGGTTGATTGAGTGGTTGTTGTAGTTGTCAGCCCACCATGCCTTGGCCACTTTAAAGTCATGGTTCACCTTCCCTCCTGTCCACACATAGACTAAATACAGAAACATAACTATAGTTTATTGCAAAACATCGAGTTTGTAGAAAAAACCGGGTACCGGGTAGTAAATCCTCCATGCTGGGTTCAAACCTGGTACCCGTTACCTGGTCGAAAAAACCAGGTACCCCAAAAAACGAATATATAACATTAGAAAACGTGTACGATTTGTTTTAAATTTACAAAAATGTATGTAACTTCCTTCAAAATTGAGCTAGAAGCTTCAAATAAAAAGCATTCAAAGGCTCTTTTCTTCCTCTATCATCATGGGCATATTTTCATTGGTTATAGGGGGGAGGGTGTTATCGCACCCTCCTGGCTAGGCCTATGACATTGTAAGACGTAACAATTTACACTTCAGTGGACGTTTCGTCGAAAATTGGGATAACTATGATTAATAATCAAAATCTTACACGTTGCATCATGTAAATTAACACAAGTCATCTCTCTACTAAAGTAACGATAGCTATTTACAGAATTAAATCATAATCAAAACAATTCATGTACCAACATATGAACTATGGAAAATAGAGTAAGATTGATTTGTCATGTTTTTCAAAACGTCTTACAATGTCACAGGCGTAGCCAGGATGGGGTGCGATGGTGCGATCGCAACTCCCCCCTATAACCAATGAAAATGCTATTTATTTGAAACTTTTAGCTCAAGTTACGTGCATTTTTGTAAATTCAAAACAAATCTTACACGTTTTCTAATGATATATGTTATATATTCGTATTTTTTGTTTGTTTTGGGTATCCAGTTTTTTCGACCAGGTACCAATTTTCAACCCAGCATGGAGGATTTACTACCCGGTACCCGGTTTTTTCTACAAACCCCAAAACATCTTTTTAGCAGAGACAGAATCTATGGCTCACTCCTTCCAATGTAGAAATATCAATATCTTTAAAAAATGTCCCCCTAACTTTTAATGCCTCTTAATATATTGATACCAGTTCAAGCTTGCCCATCTTACCATGCCTGGAAAACTTGTCTTTATAACGTACAATAATATTCTCCACTTCCCTTTGCTTCATTCTGTATGGATAGCATGCTGGCATTCATTTGCCTACAATGTGCTGTTGCTTCAGCATGTGTTCTCACATCAGAGTCCCCAAAGCCTGATAGCCAGTAACATTCATCCACCCCCTTGGTCCAGTCCCGTGGGCAGCAAGTGTCTGTGTGGGATATATCTACCGAAACATGTTGAACAAACTATTGTGTATTGAAAATTGTCTGATCTGTTTACACATTATTTTTAGAAAATGAACCACTATTCTTGCATATTCCATCCTATCGCCAGATATGTATGAATTATGTTGTATTAATTCATCCCATTGTCACACCGGAATAGCCTGACTACGGTAACGTCAGATACCGTTGTCACAAATGGCGGACATAACCGTCGCTTCAACGGTTTAATCACTTGGTCCTCATTTCATGGGATTTTATCGTCGCTAATTCTGTGCATGCATTAAGCTCTTGTGATAATGTATCATATGAAACTCCATTTTCAATCAAATTGGGTCTTGAATCGCCACAATATAGCGTCTTTGATATCGTCAATGACAACAGAAACTGAATTTGAGTAATTTAGAAAGACAACGGCATATGGTAATTACAGTGTCCGTTGTCCCGTATCTCATTTTGATCGGTTAAATTAAATACTTTATTTTGATTTTAGAACATTATTAACTGTACAATGAGTATAAAGACTCATTTAGAAAGACAACGGCATATGGCACACATCCTAGTTTTCTGCATGAGAAAAATGCAAATTCTGCGCAGAAATTCTGCATGAAAAAGCCAAATTCTGCACCAAATTCTGCATGAAATCTAAAATTCTGCACCAAATTCTGCACGGGGAAAAATGAAATTTTGTGGTACGAGTATGTGCAAAAAGTGAAATTCTTGCTAAATTCAATTATTTTCTCCAAACATAAACAATTCTTGAACTCCACTCATGCTGCTATATTCGGCGATAATGGACAACTGCAGTAATAACACCAGATGCAATGTTAATTAGCGGCAAAATTTACCAAATGCTCACTTGTGAACTATAACGAAATTCGAACTATCACGAAATTCCAGATCAATATGCAGGGAATTCAGATGCCGTCTATTTATATATGATGAAGTAAAACGCAAGAAAAAGCATGATTATTTGCGTTCGAATACAATATTAGACATATTATTGCAAAACAATTACGAGGGACTGTCATTGGTTTCAAATTTCGTGATTATGTTAGACGCAGTCTTACCTCTAAGTGCAAAGGCAGAAGTTCGAGAATTTAAAACAGATTTCAGATTTCCTCTTGAAAATCTGACAAAACACAAGTATCTGACAACAAACGAGCGGAGTCTTTGGGTGTTTAGGTGAGTGACAAATATGAGATGAGTTGGTTGACTGGAAAAATCATGTTTTCCGCGAGATTCCGTGCCAAAACAAAAATTCTGCAAAAAATATGAAAATGCAAATTTCTGCGGTTTTTCTGCGGCGACGCGGAATCACGGAATACTAGGATGAGGGATATGGTAATTACAGTGTCCGTTGTCCCGTATCTCATTTTGATCGGTTAAATTAAATACTTTATTTCGATTTTAGAACATTATTAACTGTACAATGAGTATTAAGACACTTTGATTGATTGTTGTACCAAAGGAATTTAGTCTCGGTACTCTATTAAACATACAGTTCATGAAAATCTAATTGAAGCGACGGTTATGTCCGCCATTTGTGACAACAGTGTCTGACTTTACCGTTGTCAGGCTATTCCGAGGTGATTGTGATAATGATCCATCTGATTAAAATTATGAGCATGCTTGATATCTTAGATTTCTATATGTGTCAAAGGATTGGAAAGGACATGCAGGATGAAATATATATTTTAGAGAAAATGTTTTTGTTGCATTACAACCTACCACTTTCCCTAATGTAGAACATCCATTGGCTACTGTTGATGAGGTCATGTGACACTGAAGCATTGTATGCGATGCAATATGAAAGGCCTTTGTTGTAACTCATAGCCCTACACGTCGGCAACTTGCTACAAAATCTAGCACAGTCCAGTATAGTTTTTGATCTTGCAGAAGAAAATATTTCATATTTTGAAAGTGCAAATAGGTTTCCCTGGTAGTAGAATGTTGTCATGTCAGTATTCAGCAACACACCTAAACATAATTGTTAAATGTATGAAAGCAATAGACTAGATGCAAGTAGAAATAATCTTGATTACGGCATCAAAAATTAAAATTCTGTCAATAGTACAACAAAGTGATATCATATTTGAAATCTACATGTAAAATTAGAAGAAATACTAGAAATGTATCTTTAGAATTTGTTTATCATTTTTTGAACATGTGACTTTTAGGTCGGGGAGGTTCCCCTTATATTGTATTGTAGTGTATTTTGATGTTTGTTATCTATCCAAAATTAGCCACCTAGTGGTGAAACAGGTATTACCTACTGGCATTTAGGTTATTGAAACATATAATGAAATATAATTATGATTGGTTGAGAACTATTCCATTTCATAATGTTTCATCTGTAATAAATTAGAGTGTCTTACCTTTATAGATTAAAGTGAGTGTTATCAAAAAATACAGCAAGCATTTTACAGACATTTTATTCGTTCTTCTAGATGTTTAAAGAAATAAGTCTGTGGCAATAAATTTATTTCCCTCTTCCAGCATAATATAAACAAGCTGTCATCAATTTGTCAATCATGTCATGTCAGATCCTCTCTATTACTTTCTTAATTTCTTTATATTCCTATCTATTTTTGTTTCAATTCCTCTATATCTGTATATTTCTATTTCTTTGTTCATTCCTCTCTATTTCTCTCTACATTTCTCATTATTTCTTTCTATCTATTTTTCTGTTAATTTCTTCTCTTTCTGTTTCAATTGTACTTGGTCTTTTCTCATTGAATTGTAATAATGTAGAATCTTTTGTTGATTCAGATATGATGGAAACTGTTTAATAATGATGGACAATTAGAATGCAATTTGTCAGTCGTTGATTCTCTTATAACTATTAGTAAACCATTTACCTTCTTCATAGTATTTACTTACATTTTGAGAAAAATATTTATTTATCAATCAGTATAATATTATTGCACTTTCCTAATGATGTTTTAGCTGATGAGTTAGGTTGTGTATCATTGTTTACTACTCTGACAGTTCAATGCAATGTTGTACACATACAAATTACATTGGGTCCCGTACAAGCTCATACGAGCCAAGAGAATTACGAGTCATTACGGGCAAAAAGGAGCACAATCCTTGTACCGGCTCGTATGGAGCTCTTTTTCGAGGCCCCGTTCTAGCTCGTACGATGCTTGTAATTGTTGTTTTCGACAGCCAGTGGGGAGTTCCAAGTTTGATAGTCCATTAGGAAGTTTATGATTTAATTAATAATCATTTTCATTACATTCTACTGGTAGTGTATGGGGTTTAAACAAACAAGATTGAGTATATGAACTGAGGCACTGAAAAGAAACTACAATAAGACCACCTATAGGGTATTCACATTTCCAGGATCTCGATTTAGATAGGTGTTCTGTTGAAATGTTCACATTTTGAAGTGTTTATATTTCAAGGTGCACTTGAGAGGTGTTCATACTTTGAGGTATTCACTCAAGAGGAGTATTTACTGAATTTATTAAAAATTCAAAAGTATAGAAGTAGAATGCTGAACATTGAAATATAATTATATGAGATGTAACATATATATTTATTTTGTATTTGTAGAGCCTCCAGCAGATTTACCCCTCAAACCAGAAGGTCCTATAGTGCCAGAGCCTGGTGTATCCTCTGTCCTGTACACCAGTTCTAGGCTCACTTCTAAAGGGACATTCTGGGCCCAGATTGCTATGACACCAGAGGAAAATGAATACTTAGATAGGATAAGCTACAGTATCAGGTATTGTGAAACTTGCTTAAATCATGCGTTTTTTCAGTAGATCAGAATTCACTTTTCAAATTTTGTAAATCAATATTTAGTTAGTCATATGCTTTTCATAAAACTCATGAATCTGACCGTCATATCATCTTACTGGGAATCGTGAAATATTCAATTATTTTGACCAGATTTGTCATTTCTTTGACAAAGAGAGTTTTACATCCAATGAAAAAATGGTGGTAACGGTACATGTAAATGTTTAACACAGGACATTTAAACTCCATATTCATCTGTTCTTTATCTTGTACATGTATATTAATCATGGCTTTATGTTATAGATCTGACTACATACAACAGGCTGACATTAAGCCATACTCAGAGATTGATGAAGTGTTGAAAGTTGGGGACTTGTGTTTCGCCCGCTACCAACATGACTTTAAGTGGTACAGAGGAAAGATAGAAGAAATTAAGGTACGATCTTACCAAAACACCTTCTGGGTCTTGAGATTTCTATATTAAAAACTTTTCTGTTCATATTCAGGACACATTAATCAATCAACAGGCAAAAGAGAATGGTCTCTGTTTTTGGGAAATTTTGCAACGCTTTCCAGGTTAAAGTCCAAATTTCCACTAATCATGCTTTCATTTGCCTGTTATCAGAAATTCTTACTGAATACAAGAAACATAAGTAGTTAATTGTACAAATATATATACCAATGAGAAAATTCTAGTAGAGAGAATTGTATTGGAGCTGTCAGTGCAGGTCATGTGGCCAATGTACATGGTGACACAAAAAATCCCAGCCTCTAATTTTGGAAGAACTTTCTCAGTTGTGATGAAATATTTTTTATTGCTATTATAATATGAGAAATTCATTCCAAAATTAAAGGGTTGCATTTTTGTGCCACCCTAATTAAGACTATAAGTGGACAGGGAAGGTTTTAAGATTATATCCATGCATTGTAGGGTGATAAAGCTGATGTGAGATTTTTGGACTATGGCAACTTTGAACGTGTCAACCTTACACATATACTCCCATATAAACATACTCCACAGTATGATTTCCCATTCAGGGTAAGTAAAACACACAAACACATTATTCTGTTAAATCTGAAACAAAAGTACTTCCTTGTTTGGAAATAGTTTTCTTGTTTATATAGTGATATTGTTGAATGAAATTTACAATTCATTGTTTAATTTTTTAGTCTCTTTTTGTGGATGGTTTTCAGTGGTTGGGTGTTCAGAGTTCGGCACTTGGGGTTTTAAGTTCAGTATCTGTGACAAATGGCATGTGGTGATATTTTGCATGTTAATGCCTTGTCTTTTTAAGTTGATAGCTAGAAAAGTACTCAGAAGTGTTGACCTTAGAGGTTTTAATCACTAGATATCATTACAGTCTGTAACATCCTAAACTGTTTTTGTAAACCTAATTTCTACTTACAATATCTTTTAATTTACAGTCCGTAGAGTGTTGCCTATTTGCCCATCTAGACTCTAGTCTTGCTCAACAAGCCCGCTGGGACTTCGTTGACATTGTCAGTCACGCTAACATTAAAGCTACATTCAAGAATAAGGTAAGAGGGTCAACAACACTTCATCATTTTGCATTTGTTTTAAAGAATTAAGATTCAAGAGTCACAGGGTTCACTGGTCAGTATCAAGCGAAGCTAACAGCCGTCTCCTTCGCATCAAAGATGGTAGAGGGGAAGTTAAGATTTCGATATTTTTAGTTTTCATCGAATTTAACTACCTTATAGTTGACGTAATGCTTATTCATTTGGACCAAATCAGACTTATATGACATGGAAATTATATGGAATATGATAATTTGTTCATATATCATGCGTAAGTGCCACAGTTCAACGATATCTTCCACCGCTCTTTGATTATACATTGAGTGAAATATGCATATTAACCAGAGAGATTATTGATCTTCAGGTTGCTGACACAGATATATGGTACATTAACATGGATTTAGTGCTGCTGGATGATGGCTCTGAGATTAATGCCAATGATCACATAATGGCATCAGGTTTGTATTGCTTAGATTCTCTCTGTTTAATGGAGCAGCAATGATTATTGATATGTAGTAAAAGCCAAAAGATTTTGGACCCCAAGTGACCATCAGCCACTGTATGCTGTGTTATGATACAATTGTTGCTATACTAGCTTTTGTTGTATCAAAAAGTTGTTTTTGAAGAGCTTTTTTGAAAAATTGTGAATATATTTAATAATTTCAATTGTTAATCAATATTTTCCTGAATGCATAGCATGCTTCCTAATCTAGCTATTTGTGTTAAAATTAAGAGGGTTAACAAGCACAGAAAAGTGGTCCAGCGAAAATAATCGATTAACACTTATTTTGAATTATAAGGTGTAAATTGAAAATATATTATGTACCAGCATATAACCTGGTAACATTTGTTTTGGTTCCAGGAAATATAAGACCAAAAACCTTTTCGGAACATTTTCTTTTCTTGTGACAAATGAAATGATATTAAACAAAATTTTCAAACTACATTGGGCCTGTTATGTCTGATGTTCGAGCGAGTAGTTTTACTCTGTTCTATTATATACATTTTTATATGTAAATGTATTGTTTCAGATGCTAAAGGCAAAGCTCCTTCTGGGCAGCTCAAGTACACAGACATACGACTACAAGAGGGCACTCTTAAACCAGAGGATGTAGTCAAAGCAAATGCAGGAACAAGATCTCCATCAAAGTCAAGTCAGGATAACACTGATGGCAAAAGTCAAACTCAGGAAGTTACTGGTGCAATAAAACAATCTCCAATCAAAACAGTCAATAAAAGTGTAAATGATATAAAGGAATGTGAACCCAAGTATCAAATTCTAAAAGAGTTTGATTTAAAGGAGGTAATAGGAGATTCCAAAGATGTGAAACTTCCCCAGGGCATCCTCCCCCTGTTGCCTGGTGCCATGAACTCTGCTGGAGATCATGCCACTCCAAATGAACAATTGAAACCAAAGCCACCCACACCTCCTAAGGGGTCCCCGATTAAGAGTCCCCATAGTCCAAGTGCTGCAACGCAACTCCTAATGGGACAGTTACCTCCTCCTGGACATCTCGGATCTTTGTGCCAAATTCCACCGTTTGTAATAAATACAAACGAGCCATTATCGAATAATGAACAGAACACATTAGTGAAAGTATCTGATGGTGAAAAATCCTCTGACTTGAGCAGTTTGCCTATGATTAATACAGATGTTGTACAGAGTGGATTCAGCAATGCTGCTGGAATTGATCTGAATTCAATCGCCAGTAGTATGGCAGATCAGCTCATGGGCAATCCGATCGGTCAGAGCATTCACACTAATGACAATGCTACTCTTAACACCTTTGAACAGGGGCTTATTCTCTCTCCAAAATCGATGAAATCAGACACCACTGAAAGTACTATTGATTCACATGTTGTCCTCTGTACAAGAGATACAAGCCCTGATCTAAGTGATAATAGTGAGCCAATCTGCCCAAATGAGCAAGTGGACCAATCCCAAAAAGCAACCATTGAGCAAACTGTTTCCTGTGAAACTCCCAAGTTCCAGCCTCTTGCATCTAGTAAAAATTCATCCCCAGAATCAGTAGCTGTGAAACATAATATAGAAACTGACAGTAGTGCTAAAGTGGATAATGCCAGTGATAAGGAATTACTAAAAAGTGCTGTATATCAAGTAAGGCCCATGCTGCCGGGTGTGTCCACAGAGCTAATCCAACCAGAAATAAGGGACGATATAGAGACTGGGGTTGATTTGAGTACATCTGATGAATTTGTTGACACTGTTGAACCAGAGAATTTCACTTCCGATGGAGCAGATAGTGAAGCTCCCAAGCCTGCCATTAATCCAATTGCCAGAACAGAGGGAGATATGGAAACTTTCAAACCTTTGGTAGACTCAAAGACAGATTCTGAAGGGAGTAAAGATAAATGTGCTCCCAATTCAGAGCTTGATCCAAACACAGATACAAATAAGTGGGACTTGGAATCTCGAAAAAATGAGCTAAAACCCATTATAAATGACAAAGAGGATCTAGAAACTCAACTAGAGCTAGAAGCCAAGTCTAATGTTATAGAGGATTTAGAAACTCCTAGACCTGAAATTGTCTCAATATTGAGTGTTGAAGGAAATAAAGACACTGGTAAACATATGACCAATGGCCTTGTGAATGCAGAATTGGATATAGAAGCCTCAAGGGCCACTGTACAAGAAAAGATAGAAACCTTAAAGACCACTGTAGATAGAAATATAGAAACCTCAAAGACCTCAAATTCTGAAGGAAAAATAGATGCCTATAATACTAATGCACAAGGAAATGCTGAAACCTTAAAACTCACTTTAAATGAGAATATAGAAATCGCTAATACTAATAAAATAAGGAATAAAGAATCCTCAGAGTCAAATAAAGGATCAGTTGGGATTGTCCCTCTTATGGATATTCAGTTGGAAAAAGCACCACTCAGAGAGACAACACCAGTGAAGGAGATAATACAAGGTGAACATATACAATTGTTATATAGCAAGACTTTGAGAATATTCGATAGGGGATGGGTTCAGCTAGAAGTTAATACTTGTTCATGTTCATAGAAATAGTTGAGAAGTTGTTCTCATTTTACAAGAATTATGTTGTGAGTTTGATCATTTTGTGATCATTTTATTACTTGAGTTTTGTTACATTTTCTGTTTTAGAAGCCATCAGTTCAACAGAAAGCAAGTCAAAGATAGTGCCTTTAGGTAGGTAATCTAGATTGTTAGATGTAAGTTCCCTGTCTAGATCTAATTTAGGCATCTATTGGTCAAAATGTCTCAGATTCATGTATCGATGAAGCCGTTAATGTCCAAATTGTTCTTTCTTACATACAGCTCTAAGTGCATTCATTTGAATGATCAGAACTAAAAACTCATCAAAATGAAGGCATATTTTTTGTTGATTGATATATTTTTCTTGTCTATACAGGTCAGTCTAGTCCAGGTAGTACAGCATATTCTAAAGTATTCAAAAACAGAGTCAAGGCAGTTGGAACCAGCTTTCAGGCTAGTGTGACATCACAATTGGAGAAAAATGCCACCTTTTGGGCAACGTATTGCCATGATGACAAAGCTGAAGAATTATTTGAGATATTCAAACATGATCTGATGTAAGAAATAATTTAGAAACAGTTTTGCGTATTACTTAGGTTTTACTTGTTTAACTTAAAAGTCTGGACCATTATCGTAATGCTAGATTTGCAATCATTATGTTCCATTTTTCAATTGCATGTTTGAGAGCTTATATATGACCTATATTGTAGTGCAGAGTGTTATGTCCATTTGATGAGATATCTAATCTTAAATCCAAGTGCCCAGATCTTTATTTCATAGTGTAAGCCAATCAGATCAAATATTGAGTTCTTTCTCCTACTCATATTTATGAAAATACAGAATATTCCAATTCTTTCAAACATTTCTTTGCCCACCTTGATTTATTTTTACCCCTGTGTAGAATTGCATATGTACCTTTACATAACATTAGTGCCTATTTATTGGTAGACATTACTTTGCATGCATATCGTTGCATGGACTTTCTAATTTAATAGACTAGGAATGTACATATATATTGATTTATCTGCATTTTAGAAAGTCTGCCCAGATGATGTCTCCTCCAAAACCTGTGGCCCCAGGTCAACTGCATCTTGGACTCGACTCCCAGAAGCAATGGGCCAGAGTGAAAGTGACATCTATACCCAATGAGGACTGGGTAAGAGCTAATTACCCTTCACAAAATATTCAATACATTTTCATGAGTTATTTAAAACTTATTTAGATCATAAAGTTAAGTTAAATTAATTTCACATGCATGCTTGTTTTTAGAAATAAAAATGTATATTTTTGAAAGGATTGGTAAAACAGAGAACAGAAACTCAAAGTATATATCATTAATGGGTTTATCTTTCAGATTAATGTTGACTTTATAGACCTTGGGAAGAGTAGCTCCATTCATGCCTCCACCCTGCGTAGACTACCCAACAAGTTCCTATCTATTCCATGGCAGGTAAGCTGCACTAATTTCCCAAATAACTTGTTGGAGTCTAAAATAGAAAATGATATTTGACAATATCTGTGTTTGCTTTAGCTTGCTATGCTATTCATATAATTGATCTCTGTAATAATAATGTTACAAGTGTTACGATTCTGGGTAATATCTATTGCCATAGCAACAATTCATAGTACTGAAAACACTCTTACACTTCTTACATATTGATTGAGACTTGAGAAGTCAGGGGAAGATTGACTTGAAATCATACAGTGATCACTGAAAGACATGTAAAAGATATTTGCAGAAATGAGGCAACAACAATAGTTAACAATGCCAATGGACTATACTAGATCAATCCACAAACTAATACTTTGTGCCATCATGTGGTAACAATTTGTCATGCCATTGCCCTTTATCGTATTGTGCTATGGTCTTGGATAATTGTGCTCATAGTAGTGGGTTTATCTAACTGTGCCATGATTGTAGCTAATTGTGCTGATTGTGATTGTAGTCTGTCAAGTGCCAGCTGAAAATACCAGAGAGTGTACTCCCAGAAATCTCAGTTGGGTCAGCCAGGATCTTCCAACAGCTTACAGCAGGGAAACAGTTGCAGTTTGTCGTGGTATGTACTATATACACCAAGTATCATGTTGTGGTGTGTACTATATACACGAAGTATCATGTTGTGGTGTGTACTATATACACGAAGTATCATGTCGTGTTTTATACACCAAGTATCATGTCGTGGTATGTACTATATACACCAAGTATCATGTTGTGGTATGTACTATATACACCAAGTATCATGTTGTGGCGTGTACTATATACACGAAGTATCATGTTGTGGTGTGTACTATATACACGAAGTATCATGTCGTGTTTTATACACCAAGTATCATGTCGTGGTATGTACTATATACACCAAGTATCATGTTGTGGTGTGTACTATATACACCAAATACTATGTTGTGTGGTATGTACTGTATACACCAAGTATCATGTTGTGGTATGCACTATATACACCAAGTATCATGTCATGGTATGTACTATATACACCAAGTATCATGTTGTGGTATGTACTATATACACCATACACCAAGTATCATGTTGTGGTATGCACTATATACACCAAGTATCATGTCATGGTATGTACTATATACACCAAGTATCATGTTGTGGTATGTACTATATACACCAAATACTATGTTGTGTGGTATGTACTATATACACCAAGTACTATGTTGTGTGGTATATACGATATTCGTACAATAACATGTTGTGGTATGTACAATTTTGTACAATGTTCAGTATACACCAAGTACCATGTTATTGTAAGTACAGTGATAGTATGTTTTGATATGTACAATAGATGCCTACTGTGAAGTTTGTACATTAAAACATGCAGTATTGTGTTCTTCATTAAAAAACTGGATTCAAGTTGTACTTTTACAAATGTTGTGGTTGTGTAACACTTAGATACTGTGGTGAGAAAAACCTAGCTTCCAGTTAATAATTTAATGAAAACTGTAAAATCAAGAACTTGATCTTGAATGCTAATGATTAAGTCATCTCACATGTAACAAAGAGACTATGGAGATGGTATGATCAATATTAGCAGACTGGGCTTTTTATTAAAAACTGTAAAGAATGTTTTGATTTTAGGAGGCTTGTAAGAAGGAGAATCCTGTAGTTGTCACTGTCTTAGATACTCTACAAAATCAGCCAATCAACATCAACAGCCTCACATTCAAAGATGGTTAGTCAACTATTATTATTATCTCTTAAAAATGTTAAGTAGGGGTCCTATTAAAATGTCAGTGTATTTTCTTAAGTTGGGACTACAATCAGGTCCCACTATGCATTTGATATGGGGGCATTGATATGGCATTAATGTGACATCATTGTCAGTTCAATGGTATCAATAAACACTTAAAATGGACTTTTTATCCTTTCCAAATAGAATAACAATAGCAATAATGACATTTTGTATTTGACCAGCCCATTTATTATATCTGTAAATATCTAAATATGTTTCATGAACCTGTTATGATAAATATATGAACTTTCTAATTATAACATACACAATGCACATGCATTTTGAGAAAAAATGATATACTGTAGAAAGCTTATGAATGACTTTAACAGTGTGTAGTTTATTAACCAATAGTTCTAGTTAGATTAATCATAGATTTGTGTGCCTCTTTGGCTTCATTTGCATTTTATGCTTTATTTCATGATTCTCATATTTTCTGTGATAAAACTTCCACTGTTTTTCTTTCGGAATTCTCACTATTGGATTTGTGCCTTTTTGTAAGTGCACTACTATTTTTGGCCTTTTCTAACTGGTACTTAATGTGAATGAGGAAGCTGGTAATGGAAAGTATGTCAATCATGATGCTTATGCATGATGGCTTGCCTGACTGAGTGCCTCTAACTTGCAGCACCAGAGAGGCATGCATACAACAGAAACAATTGCTCCCCTGGAATAGATATGCACCAGGATATGCCCCAATCAATCAGAGGGGGACCACACCATCCACAGCTCAATCTGAATTTTCAAAGGTCACCACATACATTTTATGCCAACAGACCAGCTAAGAGCCCTTCACCGCCAGTATTCCCTGGGATGGTGTTACCAGATTTTAGCAAGCCACCTCCAAAGGTTCCCCTGAGACACCCTGGTCCTCTCCCTAGCCCACCCTTAGGAATTATGCCCCCTGTCTCCCCAGGATTCCTACCCCCAGAGGCTCAAGCAGGAGTTCACTGCTCTATGTATATACCACAGAGTGACCCTTTGTGTGGACGGCAAGTGTATCATCGTGATAGACACATTCTTGAAGCCATAGAACCTTGCCATGATGGTGGGAAAAACGCTGCCATCCAGGCAGTTATAAACCAAGCAAGGAAAGACATGGGAGTAGGCTCGCATGTAACTCAAGCAATGTTTGATGAGAAATTTGCGAAGCAAGCAATTTTTGATCAAACCAAAAAAATTCAACAGGGCCCTGCTTATCAACCAGGTTTTGATCCAGGAATAAATAGATTCCAACATGCTGCTCCTAATCAGTCAACTCTTATTCCCAGGACCAACAGTTATAGACAAGTGTTTGCTAATCAAGCAACATGTAATCAAAGGGCAAACAATTTCAAACAGAGCTCATCTCATCAATTAACATTTGATCAAAGAACCAACAGTTACAAAGAAGGCTCTATGAATCAAGTTACATACGATCCAAATACTCATCAAGTAACATCAGAATCAAGGTCCAACAATACCTGTGAAGGTTCTGCTAATCAAGCAACATTTGATCTCAGGACTAACAATTCCCAACAATGCTCTACTAGTCAAGCAACATTTGATATTAGAACCAATAATTCACAAGAATGCTCTCCTAATCAAGGAATATCGGATCCTAAAACCACTAATTACAATGAAGGCCATATAAGTTACCCAGCAAATCCACAAAAAAGTTCTGTGAAAGTTGGTCAAGCCCTAGTTCAAGGAGGTTATAATGCACAAGCACAAAGACTGGATAAGCATTCAGGGTCCAGTTTTAATCTTAAGTACAGCCCATATGCTCGCCCTGGTTGCGCAACACAGAGTCAAACCCATGAAAGTGTTCAACCAGGACAAACTATGGGACAAAATGAGGATATTGCAGAGGAACATGATGACAGAAAACATCAACCAAATAAAGACCTGAAACGAGACCAAATGAGCATAAGTCACAGAGCAGAAAGTACTGGTTCATTCCTGGGTGGGTTATGGATTCCTCATGATATGTTGAATAAAACCAAAATGACTGCTCCCCACCCGAATGCCAAGTTTGCCTACCAGTGCCAATCATATAGCAATGTTTACAATAGCAACAGCCAAAAAACTCCCACTCCTTTTCAACAGGACTCCCGTCAATATCATACTGGCAAAGTTATAGCTGTTGCACCTCTGAAACATGAGGAGGTTTGGACAACTAGTGAAGTGAGCAACACACACAAACAACCTTGTCCTAACATTCAAAAGGAGGCCTCTCAAATTGAAGACAAAAGTCATCATAAACCTGGAACCTTTCACAAACCAGTAGAGGTACGAACTCTAAGTGAAGGAAAAGACATGAATGATGACAGAAATCAGAAAACAATCAGTCCCTTCAAACAGGCTGAATTATGGACAGTAGAACAAGAAAACAGATTTGAATTGACAGTAAAGCCTGATTCTGATGCCACTCCTGGCAGTGCTAATGCTTCTGCTTCATTTCCAAGTATGTCTAGCATGCTGCCTTCATCCTCCTCTCCCTCTCACACTCAAGACATGTCAAGTCAAAGTAAAGTAAGTGACCCCTCTGCATCAGTGTGGCCTAAGTGTGAACTGTGGCAACAATATGATAACGTCCGTGCGTTTATTTCTACAGTGACAGATCCTGAGACTGCTACCACTGCTGAAGATGCCAATGAACCTAAGAAGGCTGCAGCCAATTACAGAGTCCCTACTCCTCCTGAAGATCAAGAATCACCAAGCAAAGAATCAAATACCAACTCTCCATCTAGTTCAGATGCTGACATTGCTCTATACATCAATAAATTGATTCCGAGTGAGCAATCAGCCGCTGGATTACACCAGCAACCCAGTCCTGCCACTTATGTACCACCCAACCCAGAGAGCCCAGAGAAGGCTGTGCGGGTAGAGGATACCCCTGTCTCTACTGAGTCAAACTCTCAAGGTAATGTTACATTGATCTGATATGGACACATTTATATTATGTCACCTCCAAGAAGTTGTGACATAGTGCTCTAGCCACCATTTTTGTGAACACCAATTAACGTTCATGTCTGTAACAATTTGTCTGAATTTTTGAGTGAATCATGTCTGTAATTATATTCCAAATATTGAAAGATACGTCATAAAAAATACAAAAAGACATAAGATAGAGATTATACTATTTTGTATCTAATTGTGATTATCTTTGATCATTTGTGTTTCTCAAATGTTCGAAATATTATATACTCTTATTCCTTTACTTTCTGCTAGTGTAAATCAATTTCTAAAGAAAGGAAAATGGAAAATCCATATTTTGAGGGGAGTGGGCTAACAAACTTAAGATTTATTAATTACATTTGTGGATGACATTGGTTTTCTGATATGATTCCTGATTCTGTGAAAAGACACCTTGGAAATTACTTTTTTATGTTTCAGGTGTAAGTGGCTTTGATGAAGATGCCTGGCAGGAGTCAAGCGGACCAACAAGTTCTGCACAACCACCAACTGACAGCTGGAAACCTTCTAATGCAAGGTACAAAATTAGAGAATGTGTTCATGATAACCTTCTACCAAAAAATGTTATTCCATTTGGTGACAGCATTTAGAATGGCAGGTTATGCACAAACATTTGATGACATTAATAAAAGTGTTAATTATGAACCAAACTCTGTTAGTCTGGAATTTCCAAAGAACAAATAAAAAACCATCTTTGCAGTCTTTTCTAAAATGCATTTCAGTATACACTTTAATAATGTCTTACTTCAGAGAGATCTCAAAATTAACAGAATTGCAATCACTCACTTGTTTTATTACACAGATGGATCAGTGGATGGATGGACTGACCAACAGATGGCTGCCTCACTATATCCCTTTCAAACTTAGTTCATAGGAGTAATAAAGCCTATGTATCATACCTAAACTAGTTTCCATTATAAAGTAACAATGCTACACATTGTGTTTTCAGACGACCAAATCAACAGCGTGAAAGAAATGATAGTGATGGCTCAAGGTCTCAGAGGGAATGCTTCAACTGCAATCAGAAAGGACATCAACAGCGTGACTGCCAACTGCCTAGGAGACAGCAGCAACAGAGACGGGATCTAAGAGGGGACAGGAAAGGCGGATATAGAGACAAAAATCGATCCCAACGTGGTGGAGGAGGGAAAAATACATATAATTGTTACAGTTGTGGTCAAAGTGATCATATCGCAAAAGATTGTCCAACTCCAAAACAGTGAGATTTCTTTGTACAACATTTTCTAATGTGGATACTGCTCAGAACAATCAAATACTCTTACCATGACAACTCTGACCATATATGTCATAATGTTATGTAAGATGTGCATCATAAGTAATCAATCAAAACAAGTCATGTAGGACATATAGGCATATAGCATACTTACAGTTGAGATTTTTGCCATAGTCCTTGATGGTTCTAAAAGATTAGATTAGAGCATTCATGGAAATTCAAATGATATTCTGAATGTAATACATTTACCTAAATATATCTAAAAAGCTAGGATCATGAGAAAACTTCAGCTTTTAGAGAAGTTTTGCAGGAAAATATGCTGTGTGAATAATGTATAGTTAAGGACTAGCCACTTGCCCGTTTTTTCCTATTTAAAAGCGCTGTGGCAATATACATACTCTACATACTATACATATTACATATTCTGCCATATAAAAAACTGACATCTTTGTTTTATAAACATTATTTTTGTAAGTTTTGAAAAGAGTAACTGATTTCATGTATAGTAAATCATGTAGAGTACTTTTCCAGTATTATATTTATTATTTCATTTTTGTATATATATTTATCATTATCCTTTACAATGGTAATGTTCAACATTCTTTTTTCTTAGCCATGTACATATGTTAGTAGACATATGCCTCCTTTAATGTATTGTATGCTGATATAGTTATTAGTTAATAGTATAGCAATTATAGTTATAAAGCATTTAAAGGAGGATTTATAGAAATTGTTAATTAACATCTCAATTGATCGAATCTGTTTATTTAGAATTTTACCATTTACTGTGTTACGGTCATACGGACAGTTACTGATTACTGAAAATATATAATTTTGCAAGCAGTAAAATAATTAAGTACAGATACAAGAATTAGTGTGTACCAAAAGTTTATTTAGTTATATATAAACCTAGTGATATTCTTTTTGTACCCACTGGAGAAGCGTTGTTGGTTATAACGCAGAGTAAACGTACATACTTAGGTATTAAAATCAAATTTTGTAGTACCATGTTGTACCCACACTATCATCATAAAATTGCATCAAGTTTTTAATTTTTAAAAAACATGACTTTAAACAGTGCTATAGCCAGAATTGAAGGAGATAAATGTCTTGGAAGTTCATTTTATTTTATTTATTGTTCCAACAACTTCATCTTTTCTGGCATAAAGATCATTCCAAAAAGACCCAAAGAAAATTTAACATTTTATTTAGTTTTTCATAGTCTGGTTACTCTCTTGCTAGAATAAAAAGGAGTATATCAGATCATTTTGAGTAATATTTTTTTAAATGATATTACTCAATAAAATAAAACAATATTATGAGAAATTATCTGATATTGGATTTATCCCATGATTAAATTTAATCGCGATAGGCGGTTGGTGGTTGGGGATCGGCATCTGTAACAAATTCTTACAACTTATAATAACTTAACAAATACTGTTTAGACTGACTTCAATCTGACAAGTTTTCTGAAGTTCAAATTTGACTTAAGATCTAAGATTTGACCTTCAATGACCTTCTCAAGGTCAGAAAAACTTTTTTTTCAAAATCATCTACAAGCTCTCAGAAGTTTAAATCTGACTTTAGATCTGAGATTTCACCTTCAGTGACCTTCTTAAGGCAAAAAAAGGTCAAAAGGTATTTTTTCTACTTGCCTCAAATTGACCAAATTTTTTTTTCAAATCATCTACAAGTTCTCAAAAGTTCAAATCTGACTATAATCAATTGACTTTCGTGTGCATTAAAATAAATGCAATATAATTTATTTTTCTAGTCTGCCTGTACAAGGTATGAAGGGTGCTCTTTCAGAATGGATGTTTTTTATTTTTGCTCATCATGTTGGTTGTCTCTTACACACGGCAGATGGTGACATTTTGCATGTTAATGCCTTGTTTTGAAATGGATCAACATTACTGTACCTCCTAAATTGAGAAAAATAATCTCAAATCAACCTTTTCTGTAAATGTTGTTGATTAAGTAAGAGCCAATTTACATTTAAAGATGTCATGGCAGTTATGATTTTCTGCTATAAATTGTTTTCTGATGTACAGTTATGCTAGAGTATTTTCAGGCCATACTGAGGCTATATACACCCAGTCAATATCATACCATGGCTATATACACAGGGAATATCATATCATGGCTATATGTACCAAGGGAATACCATAACATGGTTGTATATACCAAGGGAATATAATACCATGGTTATATCCACATTGGGAATATCATACCATGGCTATATACACCCAGTGAATATCGTGGTATATACACATAAGGAATATCATACCATGGCTATATACCCAGTGAATATCATAGCATAACTATAGGAATGTCATACCATGGCTATTTACACAAAAGGAATATAGCATGGCTAGATACGCATTGGGAATATCATACCATGGTTATATACCAGTGAATAGAATATCATACCAAGGCTATATAGCGAATATCATACCATGGTTATAATAAATGCCTTGGGAATATCATACCATGATTATATACACCCAGTAAATATACCATGGCTATATACACATAGGGAATATCAAACCACTGTTATATTCACATGAGGAATATCATATAAATATCATACCACAGATATAAACACATAGGGAATACCATACCACATATACCATGGTTATACTTAAAAACACCCAGGGTTTAATGGTTTTATACAGGTTTTCTTTCTGCTAGAGATCCATTATTGCCATGTCATTTTTATATGGAGATTCCTGTACTTTGTTTGTATGAAACCTCAGCAACTTCAATCATGTAAATATTAGTTAGGTAGCACATGACTGAAAATGTTTTTAAGAATAAAACACGTTTATAAGTAATTGAATAGGATTTTGTTTCATTATTTCTTCTGGGAGAGGGATGCAAATCGAACTTGTAAATAGAAATAGATGTCATTGGTGAGCCACACTTAGGCAATTATTTAAGGATTGAAGCATGGATTCAGTGCAATGTAAAATGACCATTCCTTGAGGGTGTTGCTTTCCAAAATTTGCATCGAATTTTCATTTTAGGAAACAATGACTGAAAGGAATGGTCATTCCACAATGCATCCACTCTCGGGCTTACATTCTTTTCACATTGCAAAATTCCATGTCACAAGATACGGAGTCACTAAAAGAACATACTAGTATTTTCAATGAAACTTTATGAAGTTGGCAAAGCATCAATTTCAATCTGTAGAGTCCATTTGTCACCTTGACAACCACATGAGGCGTGACCTTGGATGCATGATTGGTGATATAATGCTTGCTTTTTAAGAGATTAATTTATTCTAACAACCCTCCCCATTTTGTTCTACTGGACATGCTTTCAAATTAGCTGGATGTTTCTTTTATGGAATCACTTCCTTCTTAAGATGAGTTTTGTGTTCTAAAATTCAGTTATTACTGAACATAAATAAGATTACATCATTCTGATGATTGAATCAAATAGAGACAAAGAAAAACATTTAAAGGATCTTCATTATTGTGATAGCTGTGCTCTCTTTGTCTTTATTCTTCCAAAGTGAAGCAGATTAGTGGGGCTCTGGCACATACAAGAATGGGTCTGCCATGTATTTCAAAATCCTCACTATTGTCAGGGGGGGGGTGTATCTTATGTTTCCTCAGCCTGATCACTGAATTTCCAGTTTTTGTTATTTAGATCAATAAAAATGTTACATAGATGGCAGCAGGAGCATAACAAGTAGTATGCATTGCGATAGAACATTCTTGACTCGCATGTAAAAATAACATTGAACCACTTCCTTGTTTGGAAGTTTTCTACACTTACCAAGAATGAGTCTGTAGAAGACAATTTTTTCACAAAAATACAGTGAATATGATTGTTTCATATTAGGACTACAAAAATGTATATGATATACTTATACTCTTTAAACACTTCAGTTACTTTCTAGAATCTAAAAGGAAGGACTTGTCTTTGACTGAAAGTTGATGTCGTAAAACAACTTGTCAATCAATTAACCAGATTACGACAGTAAAAGTTATGGCGGCGGTAAGTAGAAATTTTTGACTTTTAAATTCTTTGGAATTTCACTTTCTACACATGGTTTATGTATCTTAATTACTTCAAAGTAATACAAACTATAGAACTATCATTTCAGCATCATTAAATGTCATTTCTTGGATGTCAATATTCGTTGCGAATGAGATATAGCACGGCATTCTTTCACAGTGAAAAATCAATACATTCAGCTATGGGTTGACATTTGCAATTGGTCTGCGGCTAGGCTTGTGACAGGCTTGAACTATTTGTTGATGCGTAGCTAGTTGAAGGAGTTGTATGGACCAAGGAGTCAGACTTTAACACTAGGAATATGTCAGAGTCTGAAAATGAAGAAAAGGTGAGTAGATTTACAAATCTAATACTTATTGAGGACAGATTTAGAACAGCCAAGAAGAAAACTTGGAAATTGTTTTCGCTGTCTGGCTTTTCCAATTCTACTTATTATTTTGGGGAGGGATGATTAGTTCTCATCCCCCCAATAGTTCTAAAACTTATCAAAGAATGTTTGATTGAAAATTACTTATATAAGTTATATGGTGACAATACAATATACATTTATAGACTATGTATCTCATAAACGTGTACAGTAAAGGGAGACAATATAACAAAGGTGGAAAGTACTATATGCTGGTATATTACTAATATCTGTCATAGTTAGATAATTTTTCTTGCATTCAATCAATGAATATGATATATATCAAGGGTGTAGCATTCACTATCTAATTCATACATACTGTGACACTTCAATACCATGATCGTATGTATGAATAAAACAATTGATACGAATGATGAAACTAATTTGTAATTTTTATCTATTATAGAATTAATAAATAAAGTATATCCTCATGTAGACACATTTATTATATAAAGTTTATTATACACATTTGACAATGACATTTAGACATTTAAATAGTGGCAAAGACTCCATAAACAGATAAATTATATAGTTTTCTATTTACAAAATGTGATTTATAACAAAATCAAATATGGACAAATTTAATAAAATTAGTTTTATATCAATGATTATCATTGTAATTTTATAGAAATAAAATATATGTTTGATATTATAACTACAGAATCTTTTGACAAGACTTATTTTTAAAGTAGTGGCTAATCTTAAAGAAAAGGTAATTAAAAAGGTACTGTTTGGGGTTAGATTTATTGTTGAGTGTCTCAAGCTTACAAAATTATACTTTTTTGCAGGGGTAAGATTTGTCACTTTTATTATTTCTTTCACGAAGAAAGATATTATCAGGAATATTTATCGTTGAAAAATAATATCAGATCGTGAATTGTAGAGTAAGAGATTAGCAAGCTCTGATGAATTATCGCATTGTCGTGCCGGATGAACTAGTTTAAACCCTGTCTCTATGGCAACAATAATAAATGGCAAGTGTCGTCATGCAACTCCAATGTAATCCAGTGACAATCTGAGTTTAACTAATGCTACATGTCGACTAGCATTAATAATTCAGTTTAATTAGATTTTAGAGCTTTACAATAATGGTTGGTCATGATTAAATATTAATAAGTGTTTTAAGTGGGCTTGGTAATTATTGCAAAGTTGTATGCCAGAGAAAGCTAAGTGAGTTTATTGTGAAATGCCATCAGTGTGTCTACTGTCAACAAGGGACGCAGTCTCCACGGCAATAATTTCCTACCCTGATCAATAATGGTCATGGATAGTTTCTATTATATACACCGCTTTGCGTCTCAAATTCAATTGCTCTATTCTCTATTGGCAAAATCTATCAGAAGCAGATGTGACAGAAAACTTATTGAGAAACCAATAATGCTCATGCAGGGCCACTTCAGATAACTTATCACAGTAGAAATGGATTAATGATTATTTTATCAAGTATCCATTCTGAGGCCCTTCATGTGACAGTGAGGACCCATAACATGAATTATTATGCCTCATGTCTGGGTGATAAGTTCTTATGAAGTGTTCAATAGGTTTGACTTTCATCTCTATTCCTGTAATGTCCTCATACTTCCTCCCAGCTGCGACTCAAGCTGGTCTCTAAACAAACTCTACCAGTTGTCATGGTAATGGGACATCGTCATGGCAACCAGGTGTGTTAATGCTTAACTACCTGGCTGTAGTTGGTAACCAATCATTCATGAACCATTACAAGTCCATTAAACAGTTTATCCAGAGAGCTCAGAGATTTTCACCAGGTCCCTTAATCCTAAGTTCTATCAAGCCAAAATGCAAGGACAAAATCCTGCTTCAAGTGGTACATGGTCAGTCAATAGGCTGGTTTATTAGTCCATACTGTTCTTGTTTTTCAAATGTTGCCTATTGGTTCTTTTCATT